CTTTCCCTTCCCCCATGGTCTTGTGTTAAGTTTTTCAAGATCCACATATGAGTGAAAACATATGTTATCTGTCTTTCTCTGACTTATTTCACTCAAGATAATACCCTCCAGTTCCATCCATGTTGTCATAAATGGCAGGATTTCATTCTTTCTCATTGTCAAGTAGTATTCCATTGTATATATAAACCACATCTTCTTTATCCATTCATCAGTTGATGGACATTTGGGCTTTTCCCATAATTTGGCTATTGTTGAAAGTGCTTCTATAAACATTAACTCAAACCAAAACCATGACTTAATTCTTCATCTAAAACCTAACCCTACAATCTTCTCCCCCTCAACAACAACAAAAACAAAAACAGACTTCTAATCCTAGTTATAATTCTTCCATCTCAGAGCCCAGTTACAGAAGCCAAGATAGCATAGTAGTTAAGAGCCAGGATCCAGCCCAAGGCACATCTGGCACTGAATCCAGGTCTTGGATCTGACTGAAACAGAGTCTCAGGCAACCAGAATCTCTTTCAGACTCACTTCAAGTTGTTGGCCAACCTCCAGAATGATCTTCTATTTGCAAAACTGAAACTCTAACCATTAAACAATTCCCCATTCCCCACTGCCTGCAGCTCCTAGCAACCACTTTCTGTCTCTATAAATTTAACCACTGTAGTAGCTCTTATAAATGGAATCATACTGTGTTTGTCTTTTTGTGTCTGGAGTGTCTTATTTAGTAATGAAACTGAAAGTTCATTTGAAAGTGCCAGCCTCATGGCGCCTGGCTGGCTCAGTTGGTAGAGCATGCAACTCTTGATCTAGGGGTTGTGAGTTCAAGACCTATGTTGGGTGTAGAGCCTACAAATAAAATTTTTTAAAAATGCCAGCCTCATGGAGTTCTTACAAGGAATTACCAAAATCCATAAAAACTGCTTAAGTGAACCACTTCTGCCACTATGATTATTACACCTTAATTTGGTTAATTAGTATATAAGTAAGGACACAATTTTAATTATATTATTATATGCATTTTTTATAACATCCCACTGCTGTGCATCCCCACCTCATGCCCCCATTATCATGTTTCTGTCCCTCATTATGTCCATATCACTGACCCATTCGCCATACTTCTCCTGATCTGCTGATTCATTTTTATTCCTCCTTTCTACTAGCTCAACATCATCATCCTGTGATCTTCTAGGTTCCTTTGAGCCCTTTCTTGTACCCTTCCCTTGTTCAAAACATCAAGCCAGAAAGAAAAACCCTACCCCCAACATGTCCACAGTTCCTAGGGGATAGATGAGCCATGAGTTGGATTTTTAAAGGAGCTAGAAGGAAACCAAACTGCTTTCCTCCAATGTCTCATGGCAGTATCATGAGAGGAAGAAAGAGGATAAAGCCAAGATGATAAATGGAATTATTAAAAAACAAAGGTTAACTTTATTTCATCAAAAGATACCATCAACAGAGTGAAAAGGCAATCCATGGATGGAAGAAAATATTTGCAAATCATATATTTGATAAATAGTTAATATCCAGGACATAAAAAGAGTCCTCACAAGTCAACAACAGCAACAACAAATACCCCAATTAAAATATGGGAAAAGGGAGTTGAATAGACATTTCTCCAAAGATAAACAAATGGCTAAAAACCACATGAAAAGTCATTCAGTATCAGTAGCCAATCAGGAAATGCAACTCAAAACTGCAATAAGATATCATCTCACAGCCATTAGAATAGCTACTATCAAAACAAAAATAAAATAAGTGTTGGGGATGAGGAAAAATTAGAACCCTTGTACACTGTTGATGTGAGTGCAAAATGGTGCAGCCACTGTGGAAAACATTATGGGAGTTCCTCAAAGAATTGGACCTAGAATTACCATATCATCCAATAATTCCACTTCTGAACATACACCCAAAGGAATTGAAAGCAGGGTCTCAAAGAAACTTGTACCCACATGTTCCTACCAGCATTAGTCACAAGAATCAAAAGCTAGAAGCAATCTGAATGTCCATTGATGGATGAATAGGTGAACAAAATGTGGTATACATATACCAGGGGATATTATTACACCTTAAAAAGGAATGAAATCATGTCATATGTGACAACATGGATGAAGCTCAAGGACTTTATCTTAAATAAAATAAGCCACATACAAACAAATACTTTATGATTCAATTTATAAGAGGTACCAAGAGTAGTCAGATTCATAGAGACAGAAAGTGGTGGCTCAAGAGGCTGAAGGGAAGGGAATGGAGAATTGTTATTTAATGGGTACAGAGTTTTGTAAGATGAAAAAAAGTTCTGGAGATTGATTGCACAACATGACTCTGCTTAACACTACTGAACCATATGTTTAGAAATGGTAAGAGGGTAAATTTTATGTTATGTGTATTTTATCACAATTTTTAAAAATGTTGTCTTCCCTCCACTCACCCCACTGTGGCTCATCCCTCTTAGCTTTTTCATAAAGGTCTCTCCTGTTGATTGCAGCAAAAATCCACACTGCCATGGCCCATGCCTTCTCCTCACCATTGAAGTCAATCATCAAAGTAGCTAGATCCATGTGGTCTGCCTTCTCTGTCTGACTCCGAGGGAGTGGGCTGAACCCCTTTTGAGAAGGGTAGTCTTCTAAGTGCATCTTGAATTTCTTAAAGTCTGTGTCCCCCAAATCCTCCAGGTAACGGGCCAACTTGCAGCGGACACTTGCCATGTTCATCCGTGGCTCTGGTCAGGGTCTTTGGGCATAGGTCCACACTGGGAAGCTGGAACAGTGGAAACAGACAGGTAAGGAGAGTCATTTTTAAATTCTGCCCTCTTTAGAGAGAATTAAACTATGAAAAATCCAGAATACAAAACAAAAACTATAACCCAACTGTGAGTTGTCATCTTTAATTTTAAGAAGTGAACCAGGGGCACCTGGGTGGCTCAGTCAGTTAAGTGCCCAACTTTGGATTTCAGCTCAGGTCATGATCTAGGGGTCATGGGACTGAGCCCCACATCGGGCTCCATGCTGAGCCTGGAGCTTGCTTGGGTTTCTCTCTCTCCCTGTCTCTGCCCCTCCCCTGCTCATTCGCATTCTCTTTCTCTCTCAAAATAAATAAATAAACATCAAAAAGGAAAAAAAAAAGTGAACCAAATACCTACCAGAATGTTCTCCTGTTAGCTTGACTCAGGAGTGTGTCCTGAGCCATGGAAGAAAGGTGTCCCTGTGGACAGAAACAGTAATTAAACCCACAAACGCAACTGCATTAACAGCCTTATATATGCACAAACCAACTGCTCTGTGATGTTACTTCCAAATGTCACCGAGAGAATTTTGTTCTCACCAATTACTGGGCTATGGCCTACGATAAACTCTTCATTACTCCTCACCTTCACTTTCCTCATCTATAAAATGACAGAGTGGAAAATATGGCTCTTAAGTTCCTTCTAATTGAAAGGCTCTGGTTCCCCGTTTTTGCTTTGACCCAGGAAATGAGTAACTATGATGGTAACAGAGCAGCACATGGCTGGACAGAGAAAGAGCACAGAGAAGGGGATGGTCTTCTAGTGCACGTCTATTGATCCACTGATTGATAGAAACAAATGAAATGAAACTTAGGTACCGCAGGGGTGGGGTGGGTGGAATAAACACATAACATCTCTTTAAGGTCTCCTTGCAAAATTCACAATTATAATTGTTAGAACTGACATTTATTGAGAGTCTCTTGTGGGCTAAGGCCCTGCACTAATCCTTTTTCTTATCTAACGTTCACAAAGCTGTATGACATGAGTATATTTCTAAGCCCGTTTTGTGGAAGAGGAACTTAGTCTTTTTTTTTTTTTTTTTTTTTTTTTTTTTTTTTTTTTAGGAACTCAGTCTTAGAAACTAAGGGGTTTGTCCAAGGTTTCACAGAAAGAAAAAAAAAATGGTTCAAAGCCAGGATTTAGATCAGGGTCACTGATTTCTCACATCCCTAACACTGCACTGTTCACAGAGTGGAAAGGTGTGTAACTATCTCTTCCATCACTTAACTAGGTTTGTCAGTCAGATACAAAACAAAAAAAGATCAAAGACTGTAAAATAGATGGTTAAAAAGCAAAAAAACATTTTCCCAGCATTTGCCACACACAGCCGTGTATTACAGAGCTCACTGAGCTCAGTTTCCCTATGTAAATTTAGGGTTCCACAAAGAGCAGAGGTCAGCTGCTACAACTTTTTCTCTTCCACCTTTCCCAGATTTTGGATAGATGAACGCGCTCATTGTGTTTGGGATTGGTCCCTTCACAACGAATTTGGAAAAGCACAGCATCAACCTAAAGGCATAAATGATGCTGATGGGAGGGAGAGAGCCTGTGGAGCTATGGAACACTTTAAATTAGAATTTAGAATGACCACAGATTAGTGTGCAAGACACAGAGACAAGCTCACCTCTCTCTGTATCTCACTCCTGGCTCCACGCACCTGCCAAGTCTATTCCTTATGCATTTGAGGGGTGGTGGGCCGCCTCCAGATGGATCCATCCCTGGTCCCCCTCCACCAATCTTCTCATCCACACCCAGACTGTCTGTACCTGTCCTCAGTGCCCCCCTTTCCCTAACCCTAGTGCACCCTATCCTAACCTTTATCTCCTATGTCCCTGCTGTCTAGGATGTTCATTTCCTCATACACATCCTCTCCATCCAGCCTCTGGGGGACTGCTCGGCAAATCCCCCAGAGTCGTGGGTCTAAGCTGTGTCTGCTGTCCTGGCCCTCACCCCTGCCCCTAGGCACACACTTGCACAAACACATAAAGCCCAATAATGAGAAACATCAGAGTACATTCCAAATCCTCATTGAAGGACAAACTTTCAAGCTGGTCTAAGAATCCCTAGTGCATTAACCAAGAGAAATCTGGCCCTTGACATTCCCTCCCCATTTCTCCCCAGTCCCTTGCATCCACACAGTGTCACAGAGCTGGACTCACCCAGATGCAGGCCTCAGAAACAGCCCAAGAGGAAACTTGATGAATTTATAGTGGCCACAGCCCAGCATGGGCAGGAAGGATGTGGCCTAGCATGGAGTGAACAAGCTTGCATCACAGACAAAGTTAGAGACTAATGTTTACTCATATTGCTGGATTTTCCAAACCAAACGAGTGGTGTTCTTATCTCTGGTTGCTGCCAGAGATGTCTGCACTCTTCTGAGTGTCCCACTGGGGAGGGGAGTTGGGAGAAACTAAGCTGGTGCTCAGTGGATGTTCCCTCTGGCTCTCACAGCTGCTGTTTGAGTGTTGTGATGACAAATAGGAGGGTAGAATGGAGGATCCACCAGAGCTGGCAAGTGGAGAATCAGGAGGACTGGCCCATCACACTATAGATCCTTGCTCTCTCAAGCCACCACATGGAGGCAGTCGGCAGGCAGCGTAGGGTCTGCTCATCACCAGCTGGTCTGTTTTAACCACTTTCTTGAAGTAAGAATACACCTGTGAAGGGGCGCCTGGGTGCCTCAGTCGGTTGAGTGTCCGACTTCAGCTCAGTTCATGATCTCATGGTTCTGAGTTCGAGCCCTGCATTGGGCTCTCTGCTGTCAGAACAGAGCCCACTTCAGATCCTCTGTCCTTCTTTCTCTGCCCCTCTTCCACTCATTCTCTCTCTCTCCCTCAAAAATAAACTTTAAAAAAAGGACTGAAACCAATGTTGCCCTGTATATTAACTAACTAGAATTTGAATAAAAATTTTAAAAGAAAAAAAAAACACACCTGTGAAACTGTCACTGCCATCAAATCCACCTGTTTATCACCCCCCAAACTTCCCTCCCACTCCTTTATTATTGTTCTTGTTGCTGCTGCTGTTGTTGTTATTTTATTGTTAATATTTTGTGTCTATAGGAAGAAGACTTCATACAAAATCTACCCTTTAAATAAATATTTAAATAAATAAATAATAATTGGTAAATAAATATTTAATAAATATTTTAATAAACACAACACAGAATGATTAACTGTAGGCACTGTGCTGTACAGCAGATCTCCAGGACTTAGTCATCCTGCATAACAGAAATTTTACACCCTTGACTAATACCTCTCTCCACTTTCCCTCTCCCCAGCCCCTGGCAACTACCATTCCACTCTCTGTTTCTATGATTTTGACTATTCTAGATTCCACATATGAGTGATGTCATACAGTATTTGTCTTGCTCTGTCTGACTTACGTCACCTTGCATAATGTCTTTGAGGTCCAACCATGTTATGAATGGCAGGATTTCCATTATTTTTCTAATGTTTATTTATTTTGAGAGAGGAAGAGAAAGAGAGAATCCCAAGCAGTTTCCACAACTTCAGCACAGAGCCTGATGCAGGGCTCAATCTCACAAGCCGTGAGATCATGACCTGAGCTGAAATCAAGAGTCAGATGTTTAACTGACTGAGCCACCCAGGTGCCCCCAGGATTTCCTATTTTCGTGTGGCTGAATAATATCCATCATGTGATATAGATAGATAGATAGATAGATAGATAGATAGATGATAGATACATAGACAGATAACAGATAATGAAAGATAATAGATGATAGATAATAGATGACGATAGATAATAGATGATAGATAATAGATGACGATAGATAATAGATGATAGATAATAGATGATGATGATAGCTAGATAATACATAATAAATGATGATAGATAGATGATAAATAGATAATAGATAACAGATGATGATGGATAGATGATAGATGATAGATTGATAGATAGACAGAGTATATCTTTTTTTCTCATTATTTATTTATTTATTTATTTAAATATGAAATCTATTATCAAATTGGTTTCCATACAACACCCAATGCCCATCCCAACAGGTGTCCTCCTCAATACCCCTCACCCAGCTAGATAGAGTATATCTTTATCCATTCTTCCATTTATGGTCACTTAGGGTGTTTCCATATCTCAACTATCATGGGTGATGCTGCCATGGGCGTGTGAGTGCAAGCATCTCTTCGAGATCCTGGTTTCAATTCCTCTGGATAGGCACTCTACTCCCTGACTCAGTTACGCACTTGTTCTCCTAACACTTATGGAGCACCTGGTGCATACCAGGCAATAACACAAAGTTGAAAAGCACCTTGCCTTACCCAAGAGGACCTTGGAGGATAAACACCCAGACCACCTTCTCCAGTACTTGCAGTGGCTGCAGAACCAGTGACAATGACATGGGTTTAATGGAGCGTAAAGAATGAGAGGTGCTCAGCACCCCAGGCAAGTTCAGGGACCCTGGTGCAAGAAGGACAAGAGTCCAAATCCAGAGGAGAGCCACTGGCCAATGACTTTGTCTCTCTGTGCCTCAGTTTCTTCACCTGTAAAATGAGGGAAACAATGGCACCGATTGTAAGGATTGAACAAATGAATAAATGTGAGGCCTCTTGAACAGAACCTGATTGGGAGAAGCTGGTGTCAGTGGTTAACACCTGTTACTACCGTTGTTATAATTATGTGTAGAATGCTCTGAGAGAGGAAAGAGTGGTATATATTACTATATCCTGCAAGGGAAGAATGGCAGACCTAAGCCTCAAGCTCTGCCTGTCATTAGGGGCATCAAAGGCTTCAGACACTCAGGCTACACAGATCAATCATGCTCAAACAGATAAGGCTGAACCAGGAACAGGAGTGTGTGTGTGTGTGTGTGTGTGTGTGTGTGTGTGTGTGTGTGTATGAATGAGCTTTTCATTTTTTTTAATTTTTTTTAACATTTATTTATTTTTT